CTATGATGAAACCGAAATACCGCTCGACGCCATTCTGCCGGATACTGAGGGCCATTGTCACTTCTGTCATCATAAGTAATTTATTTGGCTAATTTTTACGCAGGACGCCCTTCCTTACGCAACCACAATTATAAGCGGTGGGCCTAGCCTTTGATGATCCAACATCACTCACATTTTAATGTCATAACCAGGACAGAGTCAGATAATTGATATCCGTGTTATAAATGGGTTTTTATGGTTTTCTTGGCAGAACAACTTTGTTGTTTAATATAAAAAATTTGATTTGTATTTAAAATCAATTTTTATATTGAAAAGTTTCAATAAAAAATTAGATACTCTAAAAAAAAGATTAAATAATGAATGTTCAAATGTTTTCGCATTAACTACAGAACCACACTAAATACGAAATCAATCACATTAATCATCCAATCACATTAATTACTGAATGCTTCTGAACATAAATTAAATCACTCTTCCTAATTCGTTTATTATTCCGCTTAACATTTAAAAAGAGAAAATTTATTCTCAATTTTATAATTTAAAAAAATACGAAAACACAATTGTGAAACAGTTATTAAATCATGATAACATATATATCAAATGTGAATAATGATGAAAGAATTAGACAGTTTTCAATAAAATATTGGATGTTCAACGCCAAACTCTTATGCAGTTTAATATAAACTACACTAAATTTTTATAAATCAAGAGAATTGAAAAATCGTTAAATTTATTGTTTAAATTACTGTAATGTGATCAAAGTTGTATATATGGAAAAGTTTTATTTCAAACTACGTGCACACGTTGCACAAATATCACGAATTAAAAGGCATAGATGATAGAATGAAAAGATTTCTTCTACCAAAAATGAATGAAGTAAAAAGTTATTCGATGAGTGTACATCAATTCCATGACAGAAGTAAATAAAATCATGCTTAAATTTTATTTGAAATAATTGAAATCCTCTAAGAAAGTTGAATACATGATATGAATGAACATTACAAACATGAATGAACATTACATGTTTGTAATGTTCATTCATGACATATGAATGAACATTACAAACATGCCCTTTACACGTTACGCTTCATCATCATCCTGCAGTATATGAGGCCGCTAAAATCACCATAAAAAAAATTAGTTGAGCCAAACGGACCGTTCACGTTTTGAACTTCACACCGATTGAACCAATTTCCTGATGACTTTAAAGAAGAACAACTACCGCCAAAATACTGATCGTTATCCTGATCAGGAGTTGAAAAGTTCATACCGTTGTGATAGTTTAAAACATTTTGCTTATCTCCACAGTATCCAGAAACGTCGATGGAAAACTTTTCATTTTCTGAGTTTATCTAGGTTTGTTTGTTTATTCATCTTGACATGATGATATTTTTTTAAAAAGTATTTGACAATGGTTACGAGTTATTGAAAATTTTAAAATAAGCAAAAACAATTATATATTTTTTAAATCAAAAAAAATGTAGAAGATGGAATGCTTCTTTCAAATTGTTATTTGAAATTTATAGGCTTGCAAAAAAAACAAACCCTAAAATGGTCATATTCATCAGAGTACCATTTACCACTGAAGAGAACTTCAAACCTCAACCTGTAATCAGCCGAGGTCGTTAATTGGTGCATCTTCTCCAAACCCAACCAGAAGTTTTTATAATAAATGCCGAAACCTGACTATGAATGGTAATAAACAAAAAAATTTAACAACTATTGAAAAAATATATTACACATAATACCTTGTACTCTATCCATTTTTGATTGAAACTCTGCGAGCCATCAATCCTCTGCTGAATGACAATCCATCCATTGACAGACGTGACAGGAGTTGAGTTGGCAAACGTTGGAATGTCCAACAAGATTGTTTCATTGGCAGCGCTGTAGGCTGATAGAACTACAATCATTACGCATTAGCGATAGTTATTCGGATGAGAATAAATGTTGGCTATACTTATTTTATCATTTTACTGAATGTATTTACCATGATTTTATTCATTATTTTTGTTATAAAAGTATTGTAACAATAACCTTGAGGATCGAGACAGATGGACAACTGCCTGTTAGCAGTGAGACACATGTAGAGAGCACAAGGATTTTTGATGCCAGGTAGTGAGTTGGAACAAGAGTAGAACAATCCACCGTTGAAGGTGAATGGGAAGTTGCAGGATTTGCTCAGGGTCAGCGAGAAATTTGTTTGTGGCAAAACGTCTTGTTAGTATGTCAGTTAATAAAAAAATAATTTTACAAAATTTTGGCACAGATTTATTATCTTGAAATTGTTGTGAAAAACTAAAAAAATATTTTTAATAATTTTTATTCATCGTTATTCTTTTTTATTATCAATGAAAATAAACATCAATTTAGAAGATATTTTACTTAGAGATGGTGAACAATTTAAACGCGTCCACATTTTGTTGCTGTTGTTTATGTTGAGCTTTCTATACAACAATAGAATGAATCAACTCACACATGCTGCTTGAGCCTAACAAATCAACTTTGAGTATTTAAAATTCAATAACTTGCAGCACTGAACCAATTGATGAAATAATTGTGCACAATGCTTCCTTTTGTGTGCGTGTGTATGTGTTTGCGTGTAAGTGCAAGTCGTATTCTGTAGAAAGTGTGTGTGTGTATGTGTGTGTGTATGTGTGCAGGTGTTTGTGTGTATACTGAGTGCTTGTTTGATCTCCATAAAGCATTTCGCGTAAAATTCTATATTGATGTTATGATGCGTAGCAACTCAACCATGCGCATGGTGAAACTAAAATTCAAATTTTTAAACCTCAGCGAAAATTATAATGTATCACTTATTGCTGATACCAACCGCCCACTATTACCAAGTTTAAAACTCGTTTTTGATATTTTTAATAGCGGATTTCGAAAGAAATACAAACAAGTTTATTGGTGGATTAATGAAAAGAGTTATTCACTAACATGCTGCCCGCTTGATCGCAATATCCTGAAATGAAAAATTAATCGGATAAAATTTTCTATTAAAAAATATCGTTACATAAATTGAAACAAAATTCTTCAAACAAAATACATCAAACTCACCCAGTAAGCGATGAAATTAGTCGTATTCTTACCCTTGGTGCAATTAATTTTGCCAGTGAATTGAAACAGTTGGCAATGTATGGCTGGAGCATAAATGGATGAATAATTGAATGCGTCGCAAGTTGGAGAAGCATAATGAGAACATTTGGTAGAACATTCCAGTAAGGATCGTATGTTGGTTAGTACGGTGATTGGTTCGGAAGCAAAACACATGGGATTGTTTGGCTCTTCTATCATTCCATACTTCTTTTCAACTGCTGATGAGTTGACTGATGATGACAGTAAAAAGATTGCCGGTAAAATTGCAACAAGCCACATATTCAGTTATTTCAGTTAACAATACACACTTTTATAAATTCAACACTTAAAATGTGATAAAATATTCGTGCTCATACAACAGATTCCCAGTTAATTCTTAGATACACTAAATCTGATATTCAGCGTTATTTCTCTTTTCTCAGTTGTCCTAAACAATTGCCGTATCATACCGACAATTGCTCATTATATTTCTCGTTAAAACTGCCAACATTCAAACAATGCGTTTGATCCAGTGCTCGTTCCTAATGATAATGAAAACGCGTCTTACACATACACACACACACATACATACATCCAAACACGTGCGCACGCACGCATACTGTATAAGTAAAATATTCACAACGTAGATTATACTGAATTTTGTATTCTTCTTATCTTATTATTTTTCAGTTTATGAATTTAATTCCTAACTATATATTAAGAAAGCGATGCTATTGTTGTAAGGTTGAAAATTCAAATTACTGAACAATAACGAACTGAACTGAGACTCCGTGTTTGTGTGATCAAAGATTCAAAGTCAGAAATTTGTCAACGTAAAATGTACCCCCTAATTGTTACACGCGCTTGCACTGTGTAGTCGCTAGGATTATTATTTTAAATATCATTTCGACGTTTTTATAGCAATTTTCTGTAACGTATTAAACGTTTAAATGTTAATGGCTAATTTTCTTATTATTTAGTTTTTTTATAATGCATATTCATTTAAAATTAATTTTGATTTTTCTGTTTTTTCTAATAGTTTCAAACGAAAATTTTTAAAGAAAACTTTCTTGCACCAAATTACTATATCACGTGATCAGTCAGATATACCTTCCTCGCCAGATTTTTCGTCAATCCTCACTTAACCAGTCGTGTAGGAAGTGAAAACGTAGGCAGACAAATTTACAACCCGTTATACAGATCTAACCAAAGTAAGATATTTTCACTAGTTGTCAAAGTCTTTGGTCTAGAAATGCAACATTGCAACATTACAATGAATCAAATGTTCTGACTAAGCATCTATAGGTAAACGATTGCGTATAATCAATCAATCAATTTTCGTTTAGCGTCCAGAGAGCCAGTTTCTCGAGGTAGGACGTTTGCGATTGCGTATAAAGAGATGGAAAAGAGCGTATATGCTTGTTGACTTTTACCAACCTATGTTTAGGCTTTCCAGAACTCAATGCAAGACTGCATGAATATCAATTTAGAATGAAGCCTTCTATGCTGAAAATCTAAGAAGCTTCATGGAAGTTCGAGTTGGAAAGTGCTGAAAATTATTAAAATAATCAGAATTGATAAAACACAGCAGGGTTTTGATAGAGAAAGTTGAAATTCCTTAAACTATATTTTGAAAAATCTGCATTCTATTCATGACATTCTGAAAATTTTCTAAAATAATTTATTATAAACATTTGTGACTCAAAAAATTGTGGAACATTAACAAAATACAAAAATGATTTTATTCATGTACTCATACAAAAATTTTCCAGTCATTTTATTAAATTAATAACTCCCTTATATTTCAGTTGAATGATATTATGAAAAATATTTATTCTTCTTCCAAGCTATAATTTATAAACTGTAATTAAGTTTATAACAAAAAATTAGCTAAAACTCTTTTCATTTACATAATCAAAGTCATCGTCATCACTGTCTTCACTATTTTCATCATCCAACTCATCAGCCTCTTCGGATATTTCATTTTCAATTAACAGTTGAAAAGCTTCAAATTCTTGAAAAGATAATTTTGCTACATTTTTTATGAAAATTGTGTCAGAAGATTCAAAAATATTTTTAATGAGAGGGTTTGCATCGTCAGAGCCAATGTGTTGGATGAGTTCAGGATCTGGTTTCTTATATAATCCACTTCTTTCCAACATTTTGTGCCTTGTTAATATTTTCCTTATTGGATATTTTAAAAGTTTGCTTCTAGAAAGCAGTCGCATGTTAATTCCCATTTCGTAATAAGCATAATTGATTTTATATTTGGTCACAGGCCAGTCATCAGTTAAAATATTTGGACACCTACTGACTAATAATTTTATATCAGCATTAACAAAATAATCAACAAGTTTTGAGTGATTGCATTTTATCTGTGAAATAGGGACATCTACAATGTCAGGATGGCTGCAAATTATTGATTGACTTTTCTTACCCTCAAACCCCAAAGCACGAACTGTAGCAAGAACTATCTGAAGTGATTCCACGGAATTATCGTCAAACAGTAAATCAGGTTGACTTGTTATGAGCGTTAGAGACTGAGAAGGATTGAATAAAAACTTCTTTAACGTTTTCATTGTTGTTCCCAACTGTCTATTTGAAACTGTCAATAAAATTGGAAACTTTTCAAAAGATTCAATAATGACGTTTCGAGAAAAATTGTAATTTTTTAGAAGGACGTATAACTCTGATTTTTCCAGATCTGGTCCTAGGCATTTATTTTTCAAACTTTCCCCATTAGGGGCATGTTTTGATTGTTGCAGTGACGGCTGTAGAGAGCCGGAGGAACAACTTGCAACACAAGAACTGCTGACGACGCGAGCGAATGTCAGCGTTAAGTATCGGTGGAGGAGTGGCATGGGCATGGCAGACTTCTGAACAAGCCAGGAGGAAGAAACTGGCAAACAACTGCAACCTTTTACTGCACATCTTGCAAACAACAGCCTACCAGTAAAGAGATGCATCGTCACAAAAATTTATGATAAAATGACAGATTATTTGTCAAGAATTTACATCATTTTTTTTATTAAACATTAAAACATTAACGACTGTTTACAAAGACATAGAAATTTATAACGAGTGCCCTTTTAGATACACTGATCCTGCGACGTTGGACATGAACGAAATGCTTTAAAACTGCAAAAAATGCTTTTAAAAAGATGTTGAAACGCTTTTTAATTAAATATTTAACTAAAATTTTCTTATATATTTTTTCGGCATAGGCTTTCCTTAGTTAATAGATAAACTATACCAACTACCAGTCTTTATTGACGCCATCACACATTTATCTTATCCAACACAAGTATCATACATATGTTATCTAATTTAATGATAATGATAATATATCTATAAAAATTTTAATAGTTATTGTCGTATGTGCTATGTATCATATAGTGCCAGATGAGTATTGGTTGCTTCCGAGACGTTGTTTAGGTGCTATAGTTCATTTCCTACATAGAAATTTTATACGCTAAGCTTAAAAAGTCGACATTTGGAGAGTACAAATTTAAAAAATCCAAATTCTCCCAATCATCAGTCAAACATGCTATCGTTTATATATTAAAACACTTAAAGACTATAACCACATAGTTAATAACCAGGAAACAATATAACTAACATCTTCCGAACGTGAGTAACGCAAGTTATCAATAAAAAGAACCATGGCATGGTTGTTCATTTCATTGTTCCAGAACAAAACGTATTTAAATAAACTGAAATCAAGATGTCATTCAACATATCATAAGGAATTAATTAACGCTAACTAATAATAGTCGTCGTATTCTATTCACTTGAAACCTTGTTGTCAAAATTGGATTTCTTGCTAAGAATAAAAAAGTAAAAACATTAACGTAAGGTCTGCATCATATGCATTGTCAAATAGTAACAATTTAGAACCAATAAATGCAAAAATTGAATCAATTCAAACAGAAATCAAAGCAGAAATTTTCTTTTTAACTATTGTTTTTTTTTACACATTTTGTCACATCACGGACAAATCATCGAAATCGGCGATACCGAAGTTCGTCGTGCCATAACCTACGAAACCATTTTTTGGAATGGTGCCAGGAAGGCTCACTGTGATTAACAACTTGTTATCTATGTAGAGAGAGGATACGGAATTCTGTGGTGTATAATTATAATATACATTTACATTACCCTTGACTAAAGACGAATCAGAGAAGAATTATTTAAAACTAAATGCGAATGTTGTAAAGAAAGAATTTGTAAACAAGAAAGAACCTTTGTGTCAATTTTCAAAGTGTACCATGTATCAAATTTCAATGGATCCTTCAGGACGCCTGTGGTTATCTTGCATGTACGATCTGAATTGATTTTCTTTTTATATTTTATGTCGCAAGCAGCATTACTATTTTCCTAAACCACAGTCTAACAATCAGAGATACTCTTTATGATATACCTCGATGAAGCTTCGATATTAAAACGTATGCATGTTTTAGGTAAGATATGACAATGTCACATATTATACATGAACCCAAAAACTTAGGTCATCATTTAACGTAAATATAAAATAGATTGCGAGATTTGAAATAGATCGCCACGAATACAAGTTAGCTTAGAACTGACTTAGAAGAATCTACAAAACCTGCAGTAAGAGAAACAATAGAAGAAATCTATCCAAAAACATTTGGCTAATAACGAACCAAGTCTGCAGTAAACTGCGTAAGAACTATCAGCAGGAAATATGGTGAAGAAAACTCCTTTCGCTGTCAGAGCTTCACAACCACCCCGATCTATCCTGGAGCCCACAAATGCACCTGTCGTTCCATTGCTACGTGGTATCAACATTTTCACGCTAACTGCCACATCTCGCCTTAGTGACAAAAATGTAGAACAATCGATTAACATTATTAACCTGCACCGATTCGGATATGAAAATTGAAAAGAAAATTATTGTCTTGAATGAGTTCGCCGCT